TTTCGTTCAGCGGTGCAAGAAAACGAGCGTCGTCGCGCCAATGAAGAGCAAGCTGCGCAACGCCGAAAAGCAAGAGACGCAGCCACTGCCGCACGAAATAAAACTGGTATTTTTCAATTCTCATTTCTAAAGCTTTTAAATATCCAGCGACGCTAGAACTCGGTCTATGATTGCATCGGTTTTCGGGTCATTTTCTTTTATAGACAATTAGGTAAACCGCCTTTTGCGCCTGACATATGTCGATTTTTTGGGATTTTAAAATCCTTTAAGAATGTATTCGAACACACTGTTTGAATTTTGAAAGACGAACGTTTACGCTACTAAAGCAGCTCGTTTCTAAAACTAGAAATACACTGGATTTTATTTAATACGAGACGTTCCTTGCAAAATGTTTATGAAATTTATTTATACATTCAAAATCTAAATTGGTAAACTAAATTATCTTACAGGTGGTAGCATGTGCAGTACGCCTGTATCGGAATGCGAGTCGTTGATGGAGTCACTACTGTTGGATATCAGGAACGGTCTGGGGCGAAGGTCACTTAGGAAGCAGTCCAGGGATCCTTCACCTTCACCAGGTTTTATATTTTTTATACATTATAAAATAATTAGCACACATTGTAGTCGTTCACCAAGTCTCTGTTTTTCTGTTTTAAATTTTCTCGGTATTAATGCCTTCTTAAAATCCTGTTCCAGACGTGACACCGACAGGCAGTCTGCGCAGACGCAGCCGCGCGAGTCCTGGCGAGGATGAAGAAGGTTTGCTAGAATTCTTGCGACACGCATCGCCCGCTGCGCCTGACCTACGCGAACGCAGCGCTTGGGGTAGTCTTGGTAAGTTTTTGACAGACTGTATTACACCAATATAATTATTATTATTAATTTATAATTCTTCACATCACTTTTTCATATAGGTAACTTTATGAACGGCAATAGGAAAAAAATCTTTCAAATTGGAAATTTATATTGCCCCCGTTTTAGAATTAAAAGTAGAAATGTATTATAAAAATAATGATTATATAATATTTATTAATAATTTTTAAATAATATGTTTGCTTAGTGAAAACAATTATTTTCTGAATGAGCAGAATGTGCTTTTTGATGATTATTAATTAGCTACTACTTTTTATACGGTTATTCAAAAAAAAAGAATGAATGAAATAAAAAATTATTATTGAATTATGACATGAGATAAAAACAACCTCGCATCTAACTATAAAAAATCGTTAACTTTTACTTTGAGATTTAGTTATTTTCTTCTTACTAAATTAAATTCTACACAAAATATATTGTATAATGTTGTATAAAAACTAACAACAATTTTAGGATTTTTTATTATTATTAGATCGTTCATGGTCCCGACGCGGTCCCGTACGCGCGAAGCTGGAAATTCCCGAGAGAGAAAGAGAGAGAGAGCGTCCCGCTTCCCCTCGCGCTCCCGCGTCTCCAGCTTCACCTGCACCACAGGATAATACCACTACTAAACCACGGTTAGGAAATTCATTTAAATGATGCTTAGCGGAGAATTTACACCAATAATCACAATGACTGCTTTGTGTATATATTTGTTGCAAAAGATAAATAATTAAACGTGGACTCAATCAAAGTTATTTAGTTTTTAAAGGGACTTGTACTTATTAAAACATAAATTTTAATATTTTTCAAATAATTGCTACTAAGATTATGCAAAACATGTTAAGGTAATACTTAATTCAAATTATGTATGTTGCAGGGAATGGCGTCAAAAGATTGAGTCGTGGCTGCGCGCAAATAGTCAGGAGGAAAAGCGCGATGCTGAACTGCGCGAGCGCACCAGACGTCTGCTCAATAGACGCTCCTTGGAAAACGAGTCCGGTAAGAGCAGCATTAACTCAACATTTCTTCCGCATCACCTGGCTGGAAGTCTACCACGGTCCGCTTTACTAGACATATTCTCCTGCGTACTAGCGAACTGGAATCGACTCCCGGTAGGGGTCTTCCCTGGGAGATACGACCTCCAACTGTTTAAAAAAGAGCATGCTTCTCCCTCAAAGGCCAGTAACGCACCCACTAAAATGGGTATCGGTTTGCCTATAAAAAAAGGCCTTCGAAAGAAGTTAGGGAAAACTCCTGCAACCTTTTGCTTTCTGTATATATGGATTTTTTAAATTTCAATATAATATAATTCACCGTGAAAGAACTATATTTTTTTTATTATTTACAATAATATTTTAACTCTCAGAGAGCGAGCGCAGTACAGCCCTAGACACCTTACCCGAAAGTCGCGGCGATTGGCGACCTGCAGTGCTTCGAGATACCGATGTTGTGCGAACCATTGAAGCTGTTGAAGGTAATGGTCAAATATTAATGAATATGATTTAGATTTCCTATAGGACGTTTGGGAAATATATAATTATGGTGTGTTTGATTGCTACATCCAATTTGCAAGTTAGCATCAAATAATATATTTGCTCATTAAATATTTTTCTATGTTAAACATTATTCAAGTGACGTTTTTGTCCAGCGGATTGACTCCTCTTTGCCAACATTCAAATGATACTAGCGAATTTTTTTCTTTAAGTACAATTAACTTCCTTTTTCAGATGTACAACCTCCAGTAAAGGACAGAGTTCCTTGGAGGAAGACCGAGGAAAATGAAGAGATGAGACGGCTAAGAAGACAAAGATCGAGACAGCAGATCGAGTCATCTCAATCTCTCGTTGCAATCAGTGAAGAGGAGAAACGTAAGTTACCAGACATCACTGTGACTGACGCTAAGGTCGAGAAAAACGATAGAGTCACTATCGACTCAGATAATATCGAAACGCCTCCCGTACAAAGAAAACTCTTCAATCCACCCCCCGAAAAAGAGCCTTGTAGACGCCTGCAGCCATCCCTTCACTCATCTAACACCGAAAAAGCGTCAACTGAAATGAAAGATCTATGCCAGGAAATATTGGGAGATGGACAATTCGACAGATTTTCAGCCGCAAGAAGAACGAGGAGATATAAGAAAAGCACAGAATCGACGCCACCTGAAGAAGAAAAGAAAGAAGTAGCCGAGCTAGTTGCAGAAACACAAGTCTTACGACCATCGAAACTAGAGGTCCAAGTTTCATACCCTATCGAGGTTCCAAAAGAAACAGTGAAACCCGTCGAGACCGTGAAAGATGAAAAAGAAAGCAGACTAAAAAGATGGCAGGACAGATTAAAAAACCAAAGCACAGACAAAACTCCGACCAAAGAAAAATTACCCTATTCGAGAATGCGACGGCAGACGTCTATCAACCAAGAGGACGTCCAGAAAGCGATACGAGAATTGAAATCACCCACAGAGAACCCCACTGGTGTTTGGTCTAGGAGTGCTTACAGGCGATCGATGAGTGCTAAGGTTGACACTAAAAAAGAATCAGAAAGAACGACATCTCCACGAATACCGAAAGTGAAAAGCGAACATGAATTAAACGATGAAGGTTTTGAAGAGACGCAAAGTTTGAATTCTGAAAGCGCATCACAAGGTGCATCATCCGGTTGCAACATTGAATGTGATTCACCCATCCCCAAGAAATCGCCAGATATTCCAAAGAAAACTCCCGCCAAAGATCTTAAAATTCCACCGAGAACTCCTTTGAATCGAACTTTCTCGAATAGAGCGAGTTCGTTGCGAGTCGAACGGTCCGCGTCTAGAGCATCGTTGAGAAGTTCGAGGAGCTCTTTAAACAGTTCAGCCTCAGTTGCGACCGTAAAGAGGGCGCCTGTAGCACCCAAACCAGTTCCAAAACCGATCCCAAAGCAAATATCAAGGATGCCAGCATCGAGATCGTCATCGAGCGGTAGTTCCATAGCTTCCAAACCGCCGGTGAAAACCCCAAATCGGTCATCGAACTTCATGAGACCAACGCAGGCGTCCAAAGGGCGAGGATCCCTTCAGCCGACCGTCGTGAAAAATGTCAAATAACGCGATTCATAACTGATGTTACACAGATATTTTTTGAAGTTCATAAAGAACAGATAAAAAATATGTTAAGTCGTACATCGAATGTAATCTGCGGCCATAAAAGGCATTATTAGTAATTATTAAATGTTAACCATTATTATTGGAAGCTTCAGATGTATTTAATGGTGCTTGAATCTCAACAAATCTGAAGGTTTCAATGACTGATATTTTAAGTTAAGTTAACGTTAGATCTGTTTAAAATTATGTTTAATTTATTATCGGGCCCGTACGTATTATTTACATTTATATGTTTTGTAAGGAAAAATCCAAAAAAGAACAATGTTTATTGATTTATTGTGCCACGATATAAGTACGGGTATTTTAAGCATAGACCAGTTAACGAACCAGTGACTTGGTACTCAGTCCAAAATATAATTTTGGGTTTTGTTAACCTGAAAGTATTAAAAAATACGTTGATATTGAAATAAATATAGTGCCTTCACTGTTAGATTTTTCAATTAGCCGTCCAAGTTACAATTTTGTGTAATAATCAACAAACGACAGACAATATTATGATCTGCTTTTTAGTTAATTGTATTATTAGTACATTTTTAAAGGCACAACAAAATTTTTTAATTTGGAAATAAGTCAATAAATTTCCCGCCGGAATATAAAAAAGTATTAATCTCGAAGCATCAGCGACGACAAAGAAGGTTCTAATATCTATAAATGAAAGCTACTTTAAGATTAACACAATATTTTTATTGTATGCGTTTATATTTACTAAACTATACAATAAAGTTATATACCACGATTTATGTTTTATTAAATCTCATTTACTATTCAAAATAATATCTAATGGCGGCTATACATTCTCCCCCAGACACCACAATATCCGCCAAGAGCGAGTGTACGTGGCTCTTGTTTGATCTCGCCTTTATTGATCTTGGGCGACTGTCTTGGTATTTCGGACCTATTTATAGTGTTTGCATTAAAACTGATACAACGATGCATGGTGTTCTCCACAAGAGGTTGAGCGAAAGGCTTTCGAGGATGTACAGCCAGCATTAATAGTATAAATATTTCATAACAATCCCTGGTCAACCAATTCTATTACTAAGTCTGTCATTTTCTTTCGGCATACTTCGTTGGAGGTATGAACGGGCTTAACACTTTCTTCAGATTGAGTTGCTTCACTTTCCTAAAAAATATAGGTTATCTATAAAGAAGTTATTAAAAAATAATCAAATTTCTAAGGATAATTTTACCTTTGCTTGATACACATTAGGTGCTTCATTACTATCACATGTCATGATTGGGTACATGTCTAAGGCTGTCCCAAGGCCAAAGCGACTACTAAGACGAAACTCTTCTTGAATCCTACAAAAAACATTAAGTCACGGTACACTCCTCTACATATATCTAATAGTTAAAGTTACTTAGAATGATTGATTATAATTTTAAAATTATCATAAAACGTACGGAAGAAATGATCTATGGATTGGTGGTCGCAGAACAACTACAAAGAAATACAACATAATGTACGAAGTAACGTGGCAGCTATCCGATCTATTACTACAAAACCGCTTTTATTGCAATAAGTGTTTCAAAGTGTACAATTATTATAGTTTACTGAGAACTGTTATAAATTTGATCAAAATAAAGTATTAATACACACTTCACAAATAGCACTGTCAAACTATTACATCTTATAATTAAGTTTTGTCATATTTATTTAGTTACAACGTGTCAAAAATAATCATCTAGTAGCACTACAACCCTAACTGGGAAGCATTTTGTCTCACACATGTAAATTTTTGGATTCGAGACATGCTGGTTTCGTCACAATAATTTCCTTCACCGTTCAAGCAAGTGCTAGATGTAGAAGTCCAATGGTACACAGCCGGATATCAAATCTACGAACTCTGGAATGAGAGAGGCTCGCTGAAGTCTAGGCCAACACTGATCGTTCCGTGAATGCTAAGGACCAATCATTCAATAGCTAAAAGCTTGCTAGGTTGATACGTAAGTATGAAGAATGTCTCTTACATGGTTGATAGGGTATCTCTGTCAAATGCAGCAGCGCCACTCATTGACACCACTCGTTCATACAGTTCATCTGTGTAGTATTCTAGTAACGACGTCAGATGATCAGCTCGTTGTTGGCGATCGAGGCATAGATAAATTAAATAACACAAGTCTAAGGCTGGCGATGCATAGCGGGCCAGTTGAAAGTCCACTATGTACATCTGTAAAGGAGTAATTTCAGTATGTCTAAGGAAAAACAATGGGCTATTTGACAGATATGAATAAAGACATATTTGAATTTTGTTTAGTATTGGATTTAAAAATTCAACTTAGACTTAGTCATTGATATACATAAAAATAAAAAACCCAAGATGCACACTCAACGTCTAAAAAACGTCCTCAAAAAATGAGCGCAACATTCTAAATTGTGCGCTCATTTCAAATAGTCTCGCGTCGCTCGCGTCTGGGAGCAGTTGTTAAAAATGCCAAAGTGTTCTGTGAAAAATTGTAAAAATATAACGTCAAGAAGGCTAAAAAAGGATGGGATATCGTATTTTCGGTAATTAAAAAACTTTATTGATTAGTTTTTGTTGTTTTTATGACTGATTATAACAAGCAATGTGTGATTTTTATTTATTTTTTCTAAAAACTTCATTCAACGCACAAACTTCTATACGGCCAACTTCAATGGCTGCTTGTTTAGTGTTAGAACAACGCATTACAGTCTTCTTTTTATTTGAGTCGCATTATAAGAATGACCCTGTTCTAATAAGTGGAGTCGATGTTATTTATTTGTGTTTTTTTTTATAAATAAATTTATGTACTTTTGAACTTTTTTCTGTGTAGTTTTTGACAAATATATTTACGCTATATAAAGTGTAGGTCAGGAGGTAGCCAATTTAACATTTTTTTTAATTTAAAGAAAAAACTTTTTAACCGGATTAAAGTTATGTATTATTATAAATTTACAACTATTTAACATCCAACACCTTTTGTCTTCAGTCACCGTGACCACGCACGCTGTAAAGCACGCGAAACGTCGGATAAATTTAAAATTATGTTAAATAGTTGTAAATAAAAAAGTCATGTTCGACTCCACTCAATACCTTGTCCTACCGACCACGGTCGGTCGTAAAATTTTATTGCTTTAATTACACTGCGTTGTAATAACAACTTTAAACAATTCGCGTATGGTTGATTTTGCAATAATATATGCTTGTAACTTACTACAAACGGACACTTTCGAGCGTTACTTTTATTCGAGACTGTGCATCTTGGGTTTTTTGTATATCAATGGACTTAGTTCATAATTTAAAGAACCCGCCAAAACGCTTCTCGATGCAAGATGGCGTCGCACCAGTCCGTATGACCATACTTGTAAGTTGTAATAATTAAATTATTGACATGCTACGTCACTGTCGATTTAAATAATCTGTAGTCGCATTGTGCAATCTGACTGACGCATAAAATCAATATTTTTAATAAATTCATGATTATTTACAAGTTTTTTTTAACTTCAAGGATAACTACATAACGTTTTAAGTAATGTTTTGCAAATTTCTCTCAATAGCATTATTTTTCATACTGTCTTTATGACATAAAACATAAGCCCATTCTGACCTATACGATTAAAGAAAAACTAACGCAATCCTCGAACGTGTTGAGTTGGGACAAACGACGTATATGATAAAAATATTTTTAATAACAAAATACCTAAATGACTTTTTCCTCCATTAGAATCAGAAAAAAGCCCATCAATGACCTGGTCCTGTGTCTCTAATAAAAAAAAATTTACATACGCCGTTGAAAAGCCCGTACTTATATTATTTTTAGCAAGATTAAATGCTGTATGTAGACCAAAATCTAGTCATTTCAGAATTTCGCACTTACAGCAAAATAAAATCTGCATTTTTTTCTTTACAAATACTTACTTCTTCCCATTTAAAAACTTAACCTACTTACAGCATTTCAGCGGCGTGTGATTTTTACATTCGTTTACTTAAGCAAGTTTAGGGAACCTACAGTTTTGTTTTTTTTTACCATTTACGACATTTTATTTCAACCAAACATTACATTACCAAATGACCCACTGCATTTCTAGATCTAATCATAATTATAAACTAATCTTACATCTTGAATTGCAATTAAAAGTACCCAAATACATAAATTTCCTGCATACAGCATATTTACCGCCTGTAAATTGATAATATTTCCTAATTTTTCTTCCTTATTACAGCTTTTAAAGTTTGTGATTTAAAAACTGTTTTTAATACCAAACATATTATAGTAATTTATAAAAGTTTACTTGAAATGTATGCGTTATATTTGATAGAAACACATTTCTGTAAGTAGAATATTCAATTTTCACAACAAAAACTTTTTTTTGGAAAAAATTAATAGTGTCTGACTATCATATTTCTCATTTTTGAAAATATATTTATTTATCCAGTCACCATTGCAATGTAAATTTTTCAAAGTACTATAAGTACGTGTTTGGCTAGTTACAGCAAACGTTTTTAATCAAAATTTAAAACGCTGTAATAAGGAGTTACCGCGGAAATATTATAATTTCAGCGGTAAATATGCTGTATGCAGGAATTTATGTTTTGGGTACTTTTAATTGCAATTCAAGATGTAAGATTAGTTTATATTTGATTAGATCTAGAAATGCAGTGGGTATTTGTAATGTAATGTTTGGTTGAAATAAATGTCGTAAATGGTAAAAAACAACTGTAGGTTCCTAAACTTCTTAAGTAAACATTAAAAATCACACGCCGCTGAAATGCTTAAGTAGGTTAAGTTTTTAAATGGGAAGAAGTAAGTTTTTAAAGAAAAATGAATTTTTTTTTGTAAGTGAAATGTCTGAAATGATAGATTTTGGTCTAATAAATTTAATTTGTAAAATAATATAAGTACGGGTTTTCAACGGTATATAATTTTTTTCATCGTAGAGACACAGGACCCAGGTCATTCATGCGGCTTTTTTTCTGATTCTAATCGGAAAAAGTCACTTTAGGTATTTTGTCTACTTACAGCAAATATGCTTCCCTACGTCGATATGTTTCAAAAATGTAGTATCATGGATAGGTCAGACACTATTAATTTTTTTCCGAAATTAATAAAGTTTTTTGGCTCTGGTGAACAATTGCAATATGTCTACTTAAGCAAATGTGCTTTCCTACGACGTATATGATCATTTTTAATATTGTACCATCACTGACTTAATGATTGTTATTTATCCAATTGCTAAAATACTTAGATATTAGTGAGTTTTGAGAGTCATCTGAACTAGCCTTACTAACACTTAGGTTTTAATAAATTAGTAAAAAGTTATACGCGCTTACATCAGCAATTTGCCCATCTTTGTAACGAAACAGCAAGTTATTAGTCCAGCAGTCACCATGGCATATTACAGCTAACGGTTCCTTCGGAGATACCATATCAACCATTGTTTGAAAAAAGGTATCCTCATTGCAGAAGTCCTTGAGCTTTGTCAAGTATTTATCTCTATCAGAAGAGTCTCTCAACTCCTGCTCTACCATGAAAATTGCATTTTTCGTAGCTTCAGTGTAATAACTTCTGTAATATTCCTCATTTTCCGTAACAAAAAACACTAAAAAAAGTTTGAGTTATTATAATATTAAACCTACAATAAAGAATTCCAAATTTCGGAAATACCTTCAGTTATTCCGTCCTGAATATTTAGCAAATCGTAAAATCCTTCTGGATTGTAACATTTCATAGCCAATGAAAGAGAATGAAATTGTGCTAAATTTTTCAACACATAGTAACACTGGTCCACCGTCAAACCTTGCTTCCTATCGGGCATCACGAAATCCATCTCCTTTAAATCTTTTAGAATAACCAGATCATTCTGCGCAAGGTAACATTTAGGGATACTTTTGAAAGGTTGATCCAAGTTCCACTGGTCTTGAAAAGAAGACAGAGCTGGCCAGATTTTTGTATAAAATGCAACTTCATTACAAAATAGTTCGTCGCTTTTAAATGTGTTTCGGCGCAACATACTTTCAGGAAGGCATTTGTAAATTATAGAGCCTGACCATGGCTCGGTTTCATTCGAGAGTTTTTTGTAACCTTTAAGTGTTATACGGTACACCATAGATGTATAGTTGTCTCCACGTTTCGACCCCGGGGCGCCCTGTTGAAAATATTATAATTCATAAATCATATTTAAGATCTCACTTACATCAATCGTCTTTTTGATCAAGCAATTACTAACCTCAAATTCTTCAATAGTAACATCTGGACAATCTTGTTTCAATAACTCCTGTAAAAATTCTAATGTAATGGCTGTCATTTTTTGGACTATATCAAATGAATTTAAACACCAAACTAATCCCGAGGGAATCAAAACAAGACTACGATAACTTTATTGAAGCAATCATTGGCTCGTTGTGCAATGGCATTAATAGGGAGACCAGTTTCATATTATTAAAGTTTTACTGTTTATAAAAGAAGAGCACTAAGTATCGCTTTAGAAGCCACGAAGTATTTTGTTAACCTGATTTAAAGAAACTATCAGTATAACCTAAAAAAGACTGCATGTTTTAGTTTTTAAATGTGTATAAATAAACTTTAGTGTCCCAAGGTATAACCTATTGTGCTTTTGCATACAATATTTTACACTTTGACATGCCAAGTGAATAATGTTTATACCTATTACGATTATATTTTTCAATTTCATTATTTTTTCCTTGCTTTAAGGTACACCTTAAAAATACATTTTGTATCCATTGTAAGTGTAAACATTATGCGGGTATATCATAAACTCTTTTGCTTGATTTATAATTTGATACATTTTAGTATATAGTTATTTTGGGCTGGCGATCTGAGTGAGTTGTTGCCCCACATATTTTTATGGTGCCACTGGCGGTATTGCTGTGTACCGGGTTGTGCAGCTCCCTCAAAAATGGTTGAGCTGCATGAGCTATTCGGGGCATGCTTGCCGTCTGCTGGCACAGGCTTGCTCAGATCGATCTGGTTCTTTCTTCCAAAGACCAGTCCAGTAAATACTCTGCATTTGTTTACACCAATTTATTAATTTATTATTGTATTATGGACTGGACTATAAAAGAGACTAAGACCCCCGAGTTTGTTTCGACATTTCTTCTCAGGGCAGTCAGTTAGGAAATGTCGACTTCATCTAGTTTAGGATGACATTGTAAAAGTGATTTATATAGTCCTACTTGCAAGAATAAACTATTTCATTTCATTTCATTTCATTATTATTGAGCATTGGCGTAAACAACAAACATGATACAAAAATCAATATTTCACAGCTTTTGGATCTAGATTTAGTTAGGTTAGTGTTTTTAGTACGTCTTTAAGAATAAACGTAATTTATTTTTACTTCAAGTTATTTTTAGGTATTAAGAAAACCAACAGTAATATTTTTATACCGATTGTTCGTTTTTAATAAAAAATATGGACACTCTACTGTTGGGGGAAGTGATATTGAATTGCAACATGGATTACAAACAGTAGGGTCGGTATATTGAATAATAAGTTTGACGTTCTCGGATCTGTTTAAACCAAACTATACAATATAATATCTAAATATTATTAACACAAATTATAAAAAAAAAACGAGTATTAGCGCTGAGTCTGAGTCTCATACGTCGAAAATTGATTGGATTTTTACATACGAGACAATTTTCGCGCTAAGTCTCGTTTCTAAATCTAACCCTACGAGTCTGTATGACCCCCGTATATCAAAAACATAGCGTCTCGAAATTTTCGCCGAAACTCTTAAGTTTACCTATTTTATTAGGCACATTAGGTATATACCTACAAAAGATAGATAATAAATTGTAGTTAACCATTGTCAATGAGAAAACAAAAATTAAAAAAAAATTGCTTACATCACTAATTATCACGGCCAAACACAATTAGTTACATATTAAAAAGTGTTAGTTAAGCGCCTGTTTGTTCTTACAACACCACCATTTTTTATAAGTAGTATCTCCTGTATAGAACCAACTTTTTACCAGTTTGGCTAAAATAGTTTTAACTGGAATATTCTTCTAAAATATGTATTATCCTAAGTAGAACAATTATTCCGAGTGGAGGAGGAACTGCTGCTGATTGACGAGAGGTGGCACAGGATAGAGAGTGCTGGAAATTTCTCATTTCGGAGGCCAAGACATTTTTTGGGTCGCAGAGCCAGCGGCGTGAGCGAGTGAGAACAATTTATTATTATATTAAGACGTATCATAATATGTGCACGGTACGTTGTTCCATAAACGAACAAATAAAATATCCATCCATGCTATGGTTCCATGTAAGTGAATCAGATAATTCAAAATTTATCAACAATTATTATTTAAATAACTAAAACAATATTTAATTAGACAAATCCATGATGATATTAATTTATCCCTAATGGGAAAGGCAAAGGACTTTGGTCCATATAGCCAGGACAAATCCATGAACGGATTTGACAGTTGACAAACCAGCACAGCCATAGCCCTAAGCCCATAGGTGATTGCGTCGTTGTTCGTGTAGCTGCCTGCTGGCCTGCTGCAGTAATCTGTCACTCGTGTCAGTAATGAGTAATCAGTTGCCACTGAATGCCACTTGCCAGCCCGTGTCAGCTGTTACTTTATTACTTGTTTTCCTTCTCTACGGTCTACGCACCTCAGCGAAATAATTTTACTGAATCACCTAATTTAATTACATACGCAAAACCTGAGGGTTAAGTAATACTAGACTAATTTTGTCTATTAAGGAATTGAATAAAGATGCCTGCGGATCAAATACAATATTCAGAAAGGTATAGCGATGACGTCTATGAATATAGGTAAGCATGCATAACATATTTTATCTTTGAGTTTAAATTCAACGATTTTATAGCTTTACTTCCTTATGATCCTTATTTTTATCACCACTATATTCAGCACCCCAGGACAATATAATAGTTGTGAGATAATGGTATTTATCTGCATATAAAGTGCAAGCCATATGGTAATTTTAGAAAATCTTCTATAGTTTAATTTATTTCGTACTGCTACAGCTAACCTTAATTATATACATAACCCAAAAACAATTATACAAAAAATATAGCCATCATTATTCTATGTAGAAATATTTTCAGACATGTCATCTTACCACAAGATATTGCTCGTCTGGTTCCTAAATCTCATTTGATGACAGAGACTGAATGGAGAAACCTTGGTGTACAGCAAAGTCCTGGTTGGCTTCATTTCATGGTACACAGTCCAGAACCCCACGTTTTATTGTTTAGACGACCAAGAACTGATGTTCCTACCCCAGTGAACAATTTAGAATCTAGTTCAAACTCAACTGTTAAGGTGTGATAAGATATCGCCTTTAGTTAATTATGCCACAATACAATAATAAAAATCTTGTATGATTATTCTCAGGGATATCATTATGATTTATGTTATATCAGTCTAGCTTAATAGACAGGAAAGGGCATTGTTTATAAACCTCAAAGTGCAAACAATATTATTAATAACAATAATTAAATTACTTATTAATATAGCAGAGCTTTATTTTAAAATATGGCTTTAATTTTCTGTTTATATTGGTTGTAATAAAATATAATCATCATCAAAAATATCACAGTAAAAAATGTTTTAAGTTAAGCCAAATATTTATAAAAATGTAAAACTTTATTACTCTCAGTAAAAATTAGCTAATAGCTGTTATATATTACTTAATGTGAAAAAATAATTGTAGCTAACAAAATTAATAGAAAACATATTTATATATCTCATGTTGCTTGTTTGATAATGTTATAAGATATGTAACAAGAATTTGTAAAGTTATAACCTGTTACAAAAGAAGTTCCTGGGGGCTTTTGTGTTAATTGCGTAAAGTATTATCACCATCATAAATGGAACATCGTTTTGTTTGATAAAATGAGCTGATAACACATGACTGATAAAGTGCTGTAAACATAGTAGTTCTAATAAAATTATTTATAAAAAAATAATGGTGTGTGTACTTATGTACGCGCGTAAGAAGTTATACTTCTTTGGCTTTCTTTATTTTTTTAAATATAATGAATTAATATTTAGTATATTATTCAATTATTAATTTATATTAATAACAATTATTATTTTATTATATTATTAATTCAATTTAATAACTAGGTATGTTTCATAACCTTTTAACTAAGTAACAACTAACAATAGGTCTTTGTGAAAAAGCATCGCTAAATTTCTTTGAAAAAATTATTAAAACTCCTTTATTTGTTTAAAAGGCACTACAAATGTCATTATGGTCATTCAAAATTCTTGGCATAGCTGTTAACGTCACGCATATTCTATTTCTTTTTACTTGTAGATTGTCTTATTCCCATCTCGCTCGCGCACGCTATAATCACACTGACAACAACACTTTGAGCAAATCACACAACTGGCGGCGGGAAATTTGGTTTTGGCATTTAAAAAAGATATGATTCATATCTGCGATCTCGTTATTGCAGAAAGAGCAAACATTGTTATCTATAATATTAAGTTTAGCGAGGTGTGCGGGTGTAGTGTTGTGACCAAAACGCAATCTGTTGATTGTGGTAACGAACTCACGACTAGCTGTATCCAACTCATAATCTTCATACCAGGGTCTTCTCAGTAAGAAAAAAAATAAAATAAAAAATCTTTGTGTCTCAGGTGCGCGCGCATCGTAAAATTTCACTCTCATAAATTTTTCATAACGCGCCTAAAGAAGTATAACTTCAAAAAAAATTTTTTACTTTTCTGTTACATGCCATATTAATTATAAAGAGGAAACTTATATGCCACTCTGGAAAGAGTGACAGAAATAATGTGTCTGCTATTGTTTTGACAATAGAAAAGAAATCAATGTAGGAAGAGAGGTATCTTCCTACAATAATCCATTAAATGTGAATATTAGTATGTTTCAGGTACGAATTAGTAGTAATAAGGTCAATTGGTTACTAGTAAATACAGTCCAATAATAACTTATCAAGTTCACAGTACATGTAGTTAGGTTCTCTTATAAATGTATTGTCTAATGAAGCAGTGTATAATACAGAGTAAACAGATCAATTCAAGGCTCACTAGCCTCTGCAACAGTGTCTGTTACAATATATTTTTTTGTACATTCATTGTTTATGAATCGCTATCTTTTTTGCATAAAGTTAGAGAATCAAGCAAGGTGAATTGTACACTTTTAGGTCTGAAATTAAAACGAATATCACTATGCAGAATGTTTATTTGGATTTAACATCTAAAACATTATAAACACAGTAAAATATACAAATAAATGCCAAAGTTACTTCATAATATAGTTGCCAAAGAGATAAACATAATTTATAACGCAAGAGGAAACTAATCATCCTATGTTAAACAAATATAATAAAATTATTAACAATATATTAATAGTTAAAATATTTTTCGTTTGTTAAGTAATAATAATAATTGTGCTTTTCGTTTTCTTAAAATCTATATTAGCCAAAAATTATTACACTTTCCTAATATGGAACGGAAATTTCATAGTTGATGTTTAAAATAATAAACTGCCATATAGGCATCATCTTTAATGACATTAAAGAAGCTCAAGTTTTAATGAATACCTGAAGGTAACATGTTAATAATTAGAAAATAAGAGATATTTTTTCTCTTTATATAGATGAAGAGACAAAATATTCAATATTCATGTTCATAAAGTTCTTGAGGTTGAGCTCTTGATTATTGCCATTAACATAATAGAACAAATATTAATAAAATCAAAATGATATGGTTAAATCGGAAGTCCTTATTGTAAATTAGTTTTAACAGTCACTTAACATTCGTATAAAAGTCATCTCTCCAATATAATCTTATCTAAAAAGGTAGGCGTCATCTTAAATATAGACACACGTTATAAAATGTCAAAGTGGCCACATTCAGTAACACTAGGAAGTACGAAGGAAGATCGTGCCTTTGTTATAGTGAAGTATTTGATTACACGGTTCCTTTGTCTCTACGAAGAATTCTACTATGTCAGACCGCGAAAGGCGAAAGAAATCCACTAATTTATAGAAGCTGGATTATTAATATTTCATCATCTAACGATACATATTTTTTCGATAACTCGATATATGATAACATACAATATGCGCATAAACAACATGCTCCATATTTATTTGGCTACCTCTAAAACTACTGCAAAAACTTTTAACGAATTCATTAACTACAGCCACGCGTTCGTTGGCATAATATCGTACGTTGAAACTGTTCTTTACTAACTTTAACAATACACTTTCCACTAAAACGTAGGCCCTCTCGACTGGCAAAGTTACCTTCACCGAATTGCGGTTAAAATGTCTCAAAATTGGTTAAAGCTAAAATTGTGATTATATTAAAGCTCAGCTCTCATGTAAACGACGTCAAACTTCGCGCCAAAGTCGATGTCAAGTGTCAACAACGTGACATGCCGTTTTACGCGATATTTTATAAACGCGCTAAATACAGCAAATTGATATGGCAATTTACAAGAAGTGATATGATTATACAATGGATATTGTACTAATAGATATGTACTTAAACGATAAATATATTTTTTACCAAGTGAAAAATTTGGTACAATTTTAAAAGTATAAATGCTCATTACAAATGTCTTTTTAGATAATAGCAATCGCTCTGGCAGCGCGACCGATAACAGCATAGGTACTTGGGGAAAACTGAAGGGTAAAATGGAAAGTAATATGACTCAATCACGATACGTACTGCAACAAAGGAATGCCCTTATTTATACAATAAGCGTTGCATACAACTATCGTCTGCGAACCCTAGCTACCAGCAAATAATCAGTATATCTGATTACTTCGTGACTATCCTGTTAAGGCTGTGCCCACGACCATAACCTAGAGGCTCGTCTGATAGCTCTTTACAGTGTGTCTCTTTCCATTGAATAATAAAACAGAAAAACATTGTACAGAATCACCAGTAAAGCTGTGTTAAAGCTCGGTTCGATTAGTGAAAATGATAAAGCTTTTGTATAATAAGGTGTAAAGATTTAGCTTGTGCAGGTTAGTGATGAGTCGAAAATTAGTAGGAATAATGTAAGTCAAATTTAGTTCTAGTGTCTTTGGTCCAAGATTCGGTTGAGGAGCCAGAGCGATTGTTAAGCACCTTGGCGCGTTTTGATGAAATTATTCTTTTTCCTCTGGTTTTCCGTTGGTGTACCGGGGAGGCGCGTGGGAGTTCTGATTTTGTTGATCCTCCGCCATCACCGATACTAACTCTTCGACTGCTTTGCCAAGGTCATCTGAAAATAAAGAAAATTTATTGATTTAAGTTTACTATTAAATACCTCTAGCTCCGAAGGCCAAACCGGTGAGTGATCCCGAATGACGAATAGGAACAGTCGACAGACGAGAGAAACAATCAATGCGTCTAAATCCAGATCACAAGTGAACTTTACAATCAAGATTTATCAAGATATATATATAAAAATTCACTGGTATCTTTTTAGATCTACCTACTGTAATATTTTTTTAAGACTTGCTCTATCCCTTTCAGACAGAATAATAGCAATTGTTCATATTTTGCACATTTTATAAGTACACATTTTATTATTACCTCAAGGTATGCGTCCTGTTTAGCAGCAGAAACAAAATTCTGTATTATTATAGATTCTCAAACTCAGGTAAAAAAACGTGTTATTCATGCAATCAAAAATACTAGTGAAATTAAAATAATAATTCCGCAAAATAAACGACGATGTGATCAAAATAAAGCAATGCTATCTATAAAAGCAAAAAAAACAACTTCTATTAATTCACAACAACTAATCACAAATAATTTGCTCGGCATGTCGCGTAATTATAGTTTTATATATATTATGAGTATTATGAATTTGTTCTGTACATAAATTCTTGTTTATTTTAATGTTTCTTGAGACTTAATAAAAATAGCTGGTCACATTATAGTAAGAAAACAAGATGAAGAAAGTAAAGATGTGATAGTGATTCCAGAATTTTAACTGTCAAAAGTTATTTAAAGATGATAAATAATGAAAGTGGTTTACAAACAGTCAGTCTGAAACTGACAGTGTTTGTCACGTTAATGCATTAGACAGTCACGAATGATAAGGACAAAACATTGCTATTTTCATTATATAGGTTTATTTTCAATAGGTTATATAATATATTATGCCGAGCAAACTATCTCAGTCCCGAACCTGCGCAATGCATGAGCGAGTGAAGGGCGTGAGGTGGCGGAGGGGGGCGATCACCGGATTCACGCTCGCCCGCAGAAACGCCGTCTTTTAACACAATTATATGGTTACTTCACGTAATAAATCCAATGTAATACAAATGAATAACAATAGTTAACGTAACTCCTCATAGTCTATTCGAATTTTCAATACTACACCAAGGTATTATGTACGTTTTAAAAGGCTCCTCCAGATGTGCAGTGAGACTAAAGCACGCTAACCAGGTGTGTGGCACGAAGCTATCATTGAAATGGAGGCTAGTCGCAAAAACCTGTAGAATCAGTTGATTCTACATTTATATATCGATAATGAAAAGAGCTACACCCATACTCTGCAATATCTAAAATAATAGGAATTTGATGTCGTTCTCTCCATATCCGTGGATTTCTGATATCGCTAAGGGTTCGCGCAGTACAAAAACTCATATATCGCTCACTGTAGCTCACTGTACGGTGCTAACTCGTCTCGATATTTTCAAATTAAGAATAAACTTCAATGAGTTACTTACTGGTGTGTGCGTCGTGGTAGAGTCCGTTGTGCATCTTGGCAGGTGAGTCCGTAGCGAGCTGTGAAGCGGTCACGGAGCGGGTCTGCAAAGTACCTGTACGACCCGCTGGCGAGCCCGAAGATGGCTGGAATATAAATATACATAAAATTAAACAAAACGCATTTACAATAGGTGCCATCTTGACCGACAAAATAATTGAAATCTAAAAAGCTATCAAGTCTGTCGCACTTATTAAAACGTAACTCAGAACAGATTAAGAGGTAAGAGAACAATTGTATCCAAAGTTTTATACCACGAAGTTGGCTTGATACGTTGCAGTATCAAAGAAAAATATTTAGTTCGCAGTATGCACATTTTATATAAAAAAGGCCGGAAGTTTTTCCAATAAAATTTTGCACGCATGTTGATGTATGGCAAAGTTCACGATAATTTTTAGTATGCTTTGCTTGCGTAGACCTTAATACTTATCTTGGCAGCTTTAAAAATCATCACAATGATAACTAGATCTTCGATTAGCTAGAACCAGTCATATAAACCGTGGTAGATATTACCTAGTACCTTTGAAGTACCTTTGAAGGCCTTTATCGCGGCAATAGATAAAATTTTATGAATCTATGAAGTATACCTCGTCCAGCAGTCTCCTAAGTCTTTGCAGTTGAGCTTCCAGCTGTCGGTTGTGTTCCTCGAGGATTTGCATGCGCGCCTCCAGCCGTCCCTTATGTTGTCGAAGCAAGCGAGCCTCTGCCATCATGTCCTGCAAATGGAAAATCACATTACAGAACTATAGAGAGGGTTTAAATAGTTATTACATTGTTACTCTTTTTATAAATAATTCAATTTAATTATTTATTAAAAGGTGAAAATTCTTCTACCGGGGAACGTAATAGATTATATTAAAGATTAAATGTATTATTACTATTATTAGTATGGATGAAGTATTAATAATAAGACTTTAAAAATCGCAAATGTTTTCTTATCTCAAAGTTGTTACCTGGTCAACAGGCGCGTTCCTGTTCTCATTCAGAGCGAGTTGGTCTTCGGGCGTAGAGCCAGGAGTCTGCTTGGCCTTCAATCGTTCGTACTCCGCTTGTAGGCTGGCGTTCTCTTCTTCCAGCTCCCTGAAAATTAAGTAGGCATTCGGTTAATAATTTATATTTTCCGATAAAAACGTTAAGCAACTATACCATATGTCGCAGATTCAACGCGATTTATGATCGCAAAATTGGTGTCACTACCGTCTTCCGACATTTTTAGTTATATTTAAACACGGTCAGTGCGCACGTCCGGTGCAGGCGGCACTACTGACAAATTGACTTTGACACTTTGACATCTTACAGATTGTAAGACGTGGTGCCGCCATTCTAATAAAACAACTGACATCGTGTTCTTTTATAACATAATCTTTGACATATCTAAAGAAAATAATGATTAATTCTATCTAAAGTAAAATTACAATAGTTACCTGATCATAGCTTCCAGCTCGTGTCTCTGTTCCCGGTGTATTACAGAGACGACATGGACTGGTGAACGTGGCGCTTCTTCACCCTCTGCTCCTCCATTAAGTGAAGCACAGTACTGCGCTATCAGCTGATGTTCTTCATCACTATATAGACACTTTAGTATTAATCCGAGTTCAGAAGAATTAACCTTGTTTTCGGAAGTTTTTGGGCTTTAATTTTATTTATTATGGTTTGTTATATTTATTTCCTAACGCTTATAAAGAACATTTATACGCTCTTTAGAATTATTAAAGACAATTATTATTTGGTCAGAAGTAGTTGAATATCGATATGAAAAAGGTATATAAAATATACTAAAGTAAGTTTTACCTGTCAGGCGTATCGGCTGCGCGTGCGCCGAGCTCAACCTGTGCTAGTCGCGAGGCGTAAAGTTCCAGGCGAGAATGCATGTCGTCACCTCCCGTCGCGCCACCAGCTCCGTGCTGCGGAGACGGCGCTGGGGACTCCAACGCGTCACCTACACACCATTTATTTTATCATATCATAAATTTGCACATTATTACGCTAATCTTGATTTCAAGACATAATTTCAACTGTAATAAGGATGTAACATATAAATTACATACAAAAAGAAAAATGAAACACATATTATTATTATTTTTTAACCCTATCTCTATATGAAGTCTATCTTTATATAAACTAACCTTCCAATACAGTTTGTACGGGCAGATAACCAACTCGCGGATGTTTCTTGAAGTACCGTGCCGACTTGAATTTGTTTCGCAATGCTCGGGTGAAGTCACGCACGTCCTCGCCAGATGTCGTCTGAAATTTAAGTTTTATTAATACCAATATTATATAGTTAACTGTAAACGTCAGTTAGACATGTAGATTGTATTCGATATTTGAATTCTACACACTCAGAAGTGACATCAAGTTTACTAAAAAAGATGGGATCTTAAATGGTTCTGCTTAGTGCATTTATTTCGACATAATATTTTTGTCAGAACTAACGTCACTTTGTTGTCTGGATATTATGTATATATACTATATAGGCGTGTTTTTATAAATAATACGTTGAAATTTCATTTATTAAGTAGGTACCTTCATAAAACAGAAGTGGCAAAAGGCGAGGCATATAGCAAGATGACAGATACTGACAGATACTGAATGGACTTTAAAGACTATATGAAAAGGATCAAGGGGAAGAAAAGGGCGCCCTAAAAAAAGGTGGATAGAAGATATAGAAGCGTTAGCAGAAAACGAATGGAGAAATAAAGCCATGGATAGAGATATTTGGAGAGGAGAAAGCTGGAGGAGGCCTTTGCCCGTGAAGGGGTTCCGATCAATAGAAGGATATCGAATAACAAATCAAAACTGTATTTCTATTCAACATTTGTAATGATTGGAAATAACGGGCTTTAATATAATATATTATAAATAAGTAGGGACAAAATATTATGTCGCTTTTAGCCATAATAAAACAAATATATTAACGCAATACATACAGCAGTGCAGTACTCTTGCATAGGATGCGTGAGTTTGTGGTTTTTCGCCTTCTTGCCGCTGAAGAAGCACTTTTGACACATGTCAAAGTTGAAGCACTTTAGGCAACGGTATCTGGAATGTAATATGTACTATTTTAATATTTGAAAATGGAATTAACTTATGAATCTATTTTATTGCTTTCGTTCTAGATATTACGATGTTAATTTATTTTAATATTTTAAGGCGTACAAAGGATTATTATACTTAGGTATGTTTTATTGAATAATTTGAAAAGTTTCTATCTAGAATCTTCTCTCTTATGTAATAACTTATTTCCTGTGATTTAAATAAAATAATTTTAAATAAGTAAGCTTATTGTTAGATACAGAAGTTATAAATGTTAATTTTATTAGCGAAATTGATCTAATAGAATTTCTCCGAAACAGTACCTTAAGATGTCTTTATAATACGAACCTAAAGCCCACAATGGGATAGTCCTTGCATATATTACACTTGGCCTGGTGCTTCGCCCCTTCAGCCGCAGCCAGGCGGTGCAGAACTGGCAGCCACACCATGGACTGTGGTTCTCTTTGCAACCATTGCAGGAAGTGAACTGCCTCGATGTACGCGACTTGACCTTCAGCGTCTCGCTCTACGATCTTCTCCTTATCTTCTTTTTCTTTCTCTTTTTCACCCACTAGAAAAGAGCAGTAATTATTGTTAATATAACCATTACAAATATTGTTTTTACACACACTACTGTATTTCCTATGGTGCACACAGATATGTATGCTCCTCGCATATATTTAAAGTTAAAATATAATCTCATATATACAATTGTAATCTTTTTTGAGATTAAAAAACTATACATTTTAATTGTGGATAATATAATTCGTCAAGTTTTTGCATTTCATTCTGAAACGGAATAATTTTAATTATAATAAAAATTATGATATTATTAAAAAAAAATCGAATTGATTGATAGATATATCGCATTGATAGTGTATCTTACCGGTCTTCCTGTCAAGAGTGCTTCCCTTGCCACCTTCTTTAGCAGCAGTCGAGGCCTGTTCAAAGCAGCTCCTGACAGATGGTTCTATATTGGAACCTCCAAATGCTGCTACCTCGCCCAACTGACGAGGCACCTGGAGAGAATTTTAAAATGTATTATTGGTTATAATTACAACATCTGAAGATTTATTAAAACCTGCACGGTATACAGCCGGTGAATCGTGATTTGAGACCCTCAACAAAAAAGACACGTCCGTATTAATTTTTTTTCTATTTTCTATGTCTATGGTTAATTAGTGATGTCCTGTGGTGTAGCGGATTTATTTAGAAATATGGTAACTTCAAACACTTTATTCACTATGGTTGACGTCCGAATTGCAGTTTCTGGTAAAATGCCATGACTTCAGAAGCATATAATTGTTGAATGTGTTACGTGATATTTTTAGCTTCTATTCCTCTTGCAATTAATATATTTTTGTAAATACAAAAGATTTTGATATTTTGATATTAGTAAAATATACTTCTGATAGCTAGATTTATTTCTTTTTTTATACAGGGCGCAAACAAGCAGAAGGCTGAACTGATGTTAAGTGATACCGCCGCCCATCTCACATTGCCAGAGGGCTCGCATTACCGGCGGTAGATAAAAATTTGTTATATTGAATGATGGAAAACTGAGGGTAATAGGTAATTATAATGGTACCTGTATACAATCGTGTAATAGGAGTCCTAGTTTCCTTTGATCCGCGCGACACGATGGGTCAGCTATTAACCGGAACAAATACCTGTAATACACATAAATATTATAAATATTTATTTTAAGCTCTCAGCATTACTGAATTTTTACTTTGTTTATGCGTATATAAGTGAATAGTGTCTTTGGTTGTAAAAATACCAAAAAGTTGCACCTTACGGTACCTAATGTAGGTTAAGTATGTATGTATGTAATATTCTATGTGATTGAAAACTCACCTATATTTCTCCTCTAGGTGTCCCTTGCACAGTAATACCAGCCCCACTTTAAAGCTGAGCACGCGGATCTGCCCGGTCCGCTGGCTGTCATACACGTTGAGCAACCAGTTGATCGACAGATCCAGACAAAGCGGCACATTCACAGCGCTTGGGTTTTCGCCAGCAATCGTCTAAACAAATTTCAATACTTTAATATTTAATGTTGTGTCCCTATAGTTCATGTATTACTCTGCTAACATAAGTCTTCATATTAAAAGCAGAGTTTATGTAAAGAATATAATTAAGAAAGCAAATATTTATTTGAGTGAAATATTTAACAAACAGTGTAGTGTACAAACGGCATTCGCTACGATAATAAAGAAATAACCGCGTTTTATTATTATTTATCTACATTAAATTATGTATATGGTAAATTTTTAAACTAAACTTTTTTAATTCGGAAGTAATTGTCAACTAAATTAAAGATTTTTTAAATTATTAATTAATAATCGAGCAGTGAGCTGAATGTAAAACTATAGGCGAAATCGTGCGATTGATTCCGTTTGAACATGCGGACGTAATGTGATGACACTTGACACTTGAAGTCAATTGTCATGTTATGACATTTATACGTCATGACGTATATGTTTGTCATGCGTGGCAAAACTGTCCAGTCACAGTCAATTATAGTCGGAATAATCGTTGTTTCTTCCTGCTCTGGCTATTCTAACAGCAACACCTATGCTGGTTGTTTGAAGTAGATACCTCATAGAGTGATGTAAGTACGGTGATCATATCAGGTATATCAATCAGGCGGTCGTTCTGCGCCCGCAGCCCGTGTGAGTCGAAGGCTTCTAGCGCCGCTGGCAACTGTAGCATGTGCACTGAAAATATAATTACAATTTTAAATTTAACACCTTGAGATAGGTACTTAAAGGTTCTCATAAATCCGTTCTAAATTCTAGCCCATTAATTCAGTCAATTATTAAGAGATATAAATATTTTTACATATGGACGTATACTGAGTGTTCTTTATTTAATGGCATTATTAAAGTAAAAACACAGGTCTAGTATTACGTATCATTTGGGAAATGGTAATCCACATAACAGCTATTTCTTATTCTAAGAACTTCAAACTGCTTACTGCAAATATATTACAAATACCAATTATAGACCTAAATATTTCTCTTAGATCTTTATTTATTTCGTAATCCTACGGCTAACATAAATTATATAACAAAAACAATTACACTAAAGCTAAAGATGGAATATATAATAAATACAAAAAGTTTCAAACATTTACGAAAGGAAAAAATCCATATAACTAAGTACCTAATACGCCTGTGTTGTGTGATGGTGTGATAGTGAGTGTATGTACGTAAGTGTGTGAGGGTGTGCTCATGATGCAGGTTAGCGCTATGGATCGTTTTAATACTTCTTTTAAGCATATTTCGCTTCCGGGTTTTAAATTAATTATATGTAGTAAATGTTTAATGTCTGCATTATACAAAATAATTATCATTTATTTTACTATTATGATTTTTTATTATTATTATTGTTTATATATATGCAGCGTTAGTACTTACTACATAAAGCCTTCTGCACGGTCCTCAGCTTGAGCGCAGTGCGATACGCCGAGAATCTCACTTCGTTGAGATCAGCCAACGAGTTCATTAGTTCTATCATCTTGGGATGGTCCCAGTGGGTCGTCTCTAGTTCATGACTGGAAACATAACACAATACATCTTAATCTGATCTCGTATGACCCCTATATATATGTCATGGTCATAAATATTATTTTTAAATGTAGGAAATTTGTTAAAATTTTTCGTATACTCTTGAAGTTCTACGTATTATCCTCACCCCGTATTCAAACACTAGCATCTATTTTAATCTACGATGGCTATTTAATTATAATATAAATGATTTTTTCTATTGTGTGCTGGCTACATTAATTTTACGTTTTTCTTTCCACTTACTTGATATAATATGGTACATTGGCGGGCGTAACAGCTCTCTCCCAAGGCGGGCGAACAGAGCCCGCAAGGAAGCCCTGAGCTGCACCCGCACCACCATCCCGTGCTACTCCCGCCAGCTGCCGAGCCCGCTCTTCGCCACCCGAGCTTAGAGCTGATACCCTGGAAACATAAGTGGTGATTAGTATATAATAAATATAATTTAAATACTACAAGCCTTTGCTTACTAATCTTCCTTTGACTGCTATTTACCTAGAGTTTAAATCCTCTAGCCTAGCAACAAGATGCTCAGGCAATTGCACATTGTCCCTGCCCATCTGCTGTGCCTGCGCACGGAGCTCGTCCACCTGCCTTCGCAGTGGTGGAATCTGCGCGCGCGCCCTGGTCACAGCATCCAGTTGTGTCCGAGCGTCTCGGGCGTCGCCAGGTGCCCGCCATGTTGCCCGAGCAGCCTCCGCTGCTTGAACCCGGGATGCGAGCTCGTCTAGTGATGTCGTGAACTGACGTACACGCTGAAATGGGGATTAAATCGATTTAAATAAGCAAGACATTTTAAAGTTATTTGCTAGGAATAAAAAATCTTAAACTCACAAATTTAAAATTAGAACTTTAACATAAATTAGCTCTGAACTAAGCTTTATTTTTGGTGAAAACCGCGGGAATTTGAGTTTCAGAGACATTATTATATCTACGTGTGTAAAAAAAGATTTGTATAGCCAATATAGTTATATAAAATAGATTTGAAAATGGAAATGAATTTAAATAGCATTTCCCACAGACAATCCATTTTAATAAAAGAAAATAATTTTCTGAATGAGGCATAAAGATACATTAGAGGTTATAATACACCTCTATATTACTATAGCAGAGATAGTTGACCTTGTATGTCAAGGCAGATGACGCTGGCCTTGGCGTCTAGTATTGCCTAGGTCGTCTACATTGTAAAGACATGTTACAATTACTCAGTAATTCTAAGCACCTCTTGGCCAAGCACTCTTGTCCGTAATGCATATCGCTCTGAACTTTCAAATGACAGTATTATCATTCAACCGACAACCTTTTTAGGTCTCTGCCTCAGATTTTCTGTATCCATTTCATGATCATTTCAAGTCAATTTAATAGGCATGTAGGTGATCAGCCTCAAGTGCCTGACACACTGTCCACTTTGTGGGTGTAGGCAAGTCGATTTCCTCACGATGTGTTCCTACAGCTACTTACCGGGTACTATACAATAGTCAAAAATTACACTATACCAAGCCAAAAACGGATACAATGTGTTAAACCTACAATATATAAAGAATATATGTATCTAAGATTCATAGTTCATGAGGAATAACAAAGCCATTCTATCTAATAAAGGATACTAGAGTTTTTATATATTAAATGTGCACATCGAAAGAAAGTCCATTGGTACACAGTCGGGGATCGAACCTACGACCTCAGGGATTAGAGTCGCACTCTGAAGCCACTAGGCTAACACTGCTCTTATTTAATCATAAACAGTTTTACAAAATTATTATAAAAATTACCCCAGAATCATATGGTAACCATATTTTACCAATACGCTCTTTTATATGTTTTCCTCGTAACTATTAAAGCGGTAATCGACACAGTGAATGCATGACTGGAATATCCGAGCTTCTTTAGTATTCCGAAGACGTTGATATGCGTGGGCGCCTCTTGTTTAGAACTTAGTTCTCAGTGACGTGACCTGTGATCGAAGCTGTAGCCAATAGGTAGAAGCTTATTTATATGCTATTCAATCTTATTGAATGAACAGAGAAAATTTACCTAAAATACAGCCCTCAGTGATTCTAGTGTACTTTTAATTAAAATAAAATACAACTCGAATTTTGAAAAGTGAGCGTATAATTCGCCTCGTCAGCGTGCGACTCTCATCCCTGAGGTTGTAGGTTTGAACACCGGCTGTATAGCAATGGCATTTAACACTCGCTCGTACGGTCAAGGAAACATCGTGGGGAAATCGGCATGCCTGAGACCCTAAAAGTCGACAGCGTAGCTCAGGCAGAACGATGATCACTGCTGAGAAATCCGTGGCCAGTGCAAAAGGTTACGGCGCCACTGGTTTTTAAAAATCAAACCAAATGTTGTCAATTGTCAAACTTCATAATAAATTGACAGATACATCTAAATTTTATTATTTTTCGGCAAAGAGCTCTTAATAAAGCCTTTATTGCCAATGATACAATCATTTTTTAAATAAAATTGTAGAAATGCCAAAAAAATAATTTCCTACTACAAGTGTTATTTTATTACCTATGTCTTTGAGGGGCCATCCATAAAGTACGTCACACGATTTTAGGACTTTTTAACCCCTCCCCCCGTCCTTGTCACAGGTTGTCACATTTTTATAACCCCCCTCTTGATGTGACGTCACACATTTTTGTAACTTATAGAAAGAGACAGAAATAGTGTTTCGGGACACTTTCGAGCGTTACTTTTATTCGAGACTGTGCAATATGCATCTTGGGTTTTTTGTATATCAATGGTTTTAGTATTTAAAATTTTAACATGTGACGTCACAAAAGTATTGACGCCCCCATGCCCCTTGTCACACGATGTCACACTTCGGTGATACCGTCCCTCCCCATTATCGTATGACGTACTTTATGGATGGCCCCTTAAGCAGCAATAAATGTATTTCACCAAAAGCAAACCACACACCTAACCTTACTAAGACTTTTTAATTACAAACTTATTCGTATTTGCAAACGTGTTTCACTGAACAAACAAATCCAAAACAATTCTCTAGCATAGTTGTATAAATCGACACAGAATTCCCGCTTCTAACAGACTTTCTCTCATTAAATGGCACCCTTTAATGAAGGCTTTTAGAGTTAAGAGAAAGTTCTCTCAATTAAATAATGCCTCTCGGTTTACCTTTGAAACTCCAACCTGCCATTTATATCTAAAAGGAAAGTACAATCGCGACAACGCATTTTCTTTGCATTATTTCTCAAATGTCTAAAGATTTAATCAAGAATTATTTAATCAAAATAAACTGTGACCTCTCTCATTAGTTAATTAAGAAACGATCCTGATTCTAAAAAGCATGATTTTCCGTCTAACTTTTTCTGCTAAGAGCTGAATTAAACTGTAATTTACGTATCTGGCCTACTGATTAACATTATTACAAAATAATAAAACATTCAACCTACTCATTCATTACATGTAATTTTTGCTTATCTAATAGAACGCGTACCACGTGGTCACTCAATTCGTGGTACCTCTCAAACGTGATTTTGGGTTATTAAGTTATATATTAAATCATTTTCATTTAGTAGTCTATGAAGGCAGTTCTGGACAGCCCTATTGTCTTTACAGCCTCTAATTGATGCACGACACAGATACATAGACCACACGGCGTCGGTCACGACTCCTGACAACCAAATGGAGACAGAGCAATGGGAAATAGGATTTATTCGTAAATCAATTTTTCCATATGATCTTTTCTTTATATAACCTAAAAATTCCTTCGGCTTGAGTACCTAACGAATGTAGAGATGCCTATTTCTAGACGTCTTACAAATCATTTAAATAATTAAATGACGGTTATTCATTTGCTAAGTTACAAAGCATTAAATAGTTATTAAAGGCATATTTTGACTGATTAGGGACAACCTTGTTGAACTAATTTTAAATATCGAATAGTCACAGATTATCTAGCATGATACACTTTTGACGTTCATTGACTATTAGAACGATGTGTTTTGGTGACTTCGTACTATTTAAAATAATGTGTTTTACAACAAACATCATTTATGAGATATTTATTTCAAGAGCAATATAAACATGATGTAAAATGTAAAGTTATAGAAAGGTATTTGAATCAGTCTATTTATCAGCGAACCCTATTTTGGTATATTTGAAGATGAAGAATAAAGATTTTTCGTCCTTGTCTTTGGGGACATGTTATTTTATTTTCTGATTACATTATGTCTTTTTATCTGCCATTGTTCAATCTTTAGAATACCCATGTGTATTTACACTCTATCACAAAATTTATGTATAAAACAGTAATTTGTTGCGTAAAATTAAAAAAATGAGTAGATATCTGGTTGCATCTCATCATTTTCGTCAATTATAATTGAAGTTACTAATTAAATAACTACAAAACACTAGTTTTAAGAGCTGTCAAATAATTTTCTTCCATATGAAGTTTGACATATTTGACAGTGCTCAACGACATTGTGACAATACGAATTAGAATACCTAAAAGGAGATTTGTTGATCTGGTATTAAATGAACCGTCAGCAAAATGAGGATTTTTTTAAACTCAACCAACACTTGCCCACGTTTGGCATTGGTACAAGTACATACAAGAAAATACTTTTTAATGTGACAGGTACAAGCAAACATAATCCTTGAAGGATAAAAAAACATAAGTTGGTTCAAATTATACAAATTATTGAAACAAAAGAAAAATTATTTACATAATTATTACATAATATATATATATATATATATATATGTAAGCGTAATATTTAATACGAGTTTTACTCACAATTATAGCACTTATTGTTTTAATAGTCGCGTGTTTTAAGTATAAATATTTTAAATATTAATCAGAGCGCGATAACTGGTAGGTTTATAGGTAATATTGCATAATCGTTTGTGTTCAGGGCTAACAGCACTTATTTTGTAACAACGCGACATAAATTCCTAGTCTACTACTCATAAAAAAGCTTTGAAAAATATTTCAGTATTTAAATAAAGAAACAATGTTACTAATTATAAAATGTGTTTTAAATACAGTACAGTTTCCACGGTAACGGTGTGTCATGTATAAAATGGTTACTATGGTAACAAATACGGATTTCAGACCGTGAAAATATTTTTAATATATTTAAAATTATTTAGTTGAAATTTATCATAATTTAACATATTATGTAAACTTTTTAATGAAATTTAACATATTATGTAAGGTTTGTGACAGCCCTGAGTTTGACACAACAGGGGGTATTATGTTTATTCTGCATCGATTCAGCACGTGTCCATACTGAAATTATTGTTGCATTGAGTCATACGGGTGTGTTTCCAGACTAACAAATACCTACTACGACATCGAACCTATTTAGGTCATAGACACCTCCATATATATTAAAACTATATTTTGTAAATTTGTCAAGATTACAATTGAATAAAGTTATTTAATCTGAATCAACTACGAATATTTCGATAATTCGCAATGTAATAATTATTTAGTGACTTGGTGGCTCTTTCAAACAAAAGAAAGCTAATAACATTTTTTTTAATTAAACATAAAAATCGGTATGTGACTAAAATTCAAATTTTTAAAATTCGAACTAAAATATCACATGAAATCTCTTTCAAATTGACAAAAAAACCAAGGACAATTGAAAAAAAAATAAATAGGTCAGTGACAAATATCAAAATTCGAAATATTTAATACTGCACGTACACAATTTTATTAGAAATATCCATATTATTTATATTAAATAGAAAAAGGACACATTAGAATAAAACCTCGTTTTTGGAATTATTAATGAATTGTAAACATGTTATGCTCATTACATTGGTTATTACTACGGTCAGTGACCTGTAGGTGTTATCGATATCTGTGAAATGCCCTAATTTGATGGTTATGCTTATAGCAAGTGATTGCGTAAGGCCATCGTGTCAATACAACAAAATCAGTCTGACTGTGTATTTCAGAACTAATGAATTGCATTGTAATAACAATTTCAAAAATAATGATTTAGCTTCTTTAAATGTTCTAAAGATTTGTTCTAAAAATTGTTTGAGAACTCTTGAAAAAAGTACCGTTTACAGAGTACCAAATTTTTGGGGATATTTTGCCTTTCCAATATTAATTAGGAACCTTTTAATACTTGAAGAAAATGCATTATATAAAACTTCGGTGATTTTAGTTATGATTGATAGCTCTTTAAATATCTGCCTCATGTATTCGTAAAGTGTTTTCACGTAGAAATACTTTGGTTAAAATCGTTATTTAAATTTTACCGGGATTAAAATGGGATAAAGCCAGGTGACATCACGAGT